TCTGTCTCTGCTCAGACATCATCTGTCCCTGCTCTAACTTCTGTCCCTGCCCTGATGTCTGCCCCTGCCCTCACATCATCTGTCCCAACCCTGACATCATCATCTGTCCCAGGTCTGACATCTGCCCCTGCACTGACATCATCTGTCCCTGTGCTGACATCTGCCCCAGCCCCTTCACCTGCCTCAGCCCTGTCCCTTTCCCCTTCTCCTTGTCCCTCCCCCTGTCCCTTTCCCTTCCCTTGTCCCTTTCTCTTCCCCTGTCCCTTTTCCTTCCCTTTCCTCATCCCTTGTCTTTTCCGCTTCTCCTCGTCCCTGTCCCTCGTCCCTGTCCCTGCCTCTTCCCCTGTCCAGACCCAGCTCACGCAGCAGGTGGGAAAGGTGTCAGTGCCTGTGCACCTTGGAGCTGCTCAGAGGGAAACTCTTACATTTCTGATCCACCGAGAGCCTCACTAGCTGCAGAGTGACCCGTGGGTGTTACTGGTGTGATACCTGTGGACACAGGGAGCACATGTTGGTAGAGCTGTACTTTCCCCACAGAGAGCTGTAGTGCGCATGGACGAGCGCAGGGAAGAGCAGATCGTGCAGCTCCTCAACTCTGTCCAGACTAAAAATGACAGGGAGCAAGAAGCCATGTCCTGGTGGTCTGGGGATGAAGAAGGGTAAGGAGGCACATCTACTATTGCTTTTATTCACTTTGAATTGAACAAACCTCCCCCAGAGTGGCAGGAGCATGTGTCAGAAGTTACTGGCGCTCAGTGAGTGATTTGGATTAGCAAATGCTGTCAGGTTTTTCCACTTGTGTTGTCACACTGAGATGGTTGTAGATGTTGCTGTAAAATTCTCTTTGACTATTGCTGAGTTTGGGGTGTTAAATTCCTACTTAAAATCATAAAATCCTGTAACTTATCTCAGGCCCTGCTAGAAGTAGATACATGAGGGCTTTTTCAGCTCCCCTGACCTCTGGGATTGGTGTTCCAGAGGTGACATTCTGGTTTCAGTTATTGTGCAGTTTGGAACCTTTTCTCAGCCTCCGTTCTTGACTCACTAAGGATTTCAGTAGCAGCAGTGACCCAGGCAGTGCTGCTCCAGAGCTGCTGAGAAGAGGGGTTTGGGGATATGTTTTGCTGAGGGATCCAGCAGTAATTTTATGAAGATGCCTTGTTCCTTTGTAGCTTTGTTTGCTGCAAGAGAACATCTTGTATTTCTACATACTGATGTAAAGTGACACATGCCATAATGACAGGTTGCCCAGAGCTGTGGCTGCCTCATCCCTGGGAGTGTTCCAGGCCAGGCTGGATGGGCCTTAGAGCAACCTGGACTAGTGGAAGGTGTCCCTGCCCATGGCAGGGGGTGGGATGAGCTTTAAGGTCCTTCCAACCCAAACCATTCCATGATTCTTTATTCCCACCACTGCTGGTTCATTAACTGATGGGTGAAACATTTCCATCCCAGAGTTAAGGTTTCCCTGGAGTGGCTCCATGCACTCTGCTAGGCACAGCTGGATCCTCTCTGAGGTGTCTGTTCTCTGGTTCCAGCCCTACTCCAGAGCAGCCTGTGAAAGTTAAATCAGATGGTGGCAGAGCTCCTGTGAGACAGAGACCTGCCTTGGAGAAAACATCCCTGGACAGGGATGTGGAATATCTCTTTGAAAAGAATGAGCCGGATACTGACTTAGATGAGCAGCTTAAAGAAGATTTAAGAAAGAAGAGGTCTGACCCCAAATACATTGAAATGCAGGTAAATAGAAAACTTTTCCTTGGAATGTTATTTTTTTAAAAATGAAACTAACCTGAAAATGTAACTTGTTGCAGTTTATGTACCTAGGAAATTGTCATGATGTCACTTTTGCTGAAAACTACCTTCAGAATTCATAATATTCATTCCTTCTGATGGGACAGTGATTAAAAATGTGAGATTACCAATATCAGGGACAATTAATGATTGCATAGAAGCTACAGTTTGAAGCTGAGACTTGTTTTATGGGATGGGGTTGGTTTGTTTTCATGGCTTGTGTCCCTGCGGTGAAGTCTAAAACTGAAAGCACAGCAGTGGGCTCTGAAGGAATTGCCTCTTAAACATGGACTTTGTGTTGTTCTAATAAGTTGTCAGACTAAACAGCTGCCATGGACACTGGTTCTCCCGTACATGTCAGGCCCTGCACCTGCAACTGTGTGTAGCTACCCTGTCTTGTGCTGAACACTTGGGCTTAAAGAATTTTGCCAAATTCAGTGGAACTGAAAACACACATGGAATTTAACTTATTTCTAGTGAGTCTTTTTATTGCTGAGCAGTTTGTCATTATTTCAGTTTAGCCTAATCCCAGATGGAATCTGTTACACTGCCTCAGTGTTGAGAAGGTGTTTAAAGACTCTGTTCCTTTCTGTTCCCCCAGAGATTCCGAGAGAAACTCCCCTCCTATGGCATGAGACAGGTGAGTGTGCATTTCATTAGCAAGAACACTGTTTCTGTTGCTGTGTTGTTATATAGGAGAAAACAGCTGTGCCACTGGGACTAGTAGGAACCTCTAGCCTTTAGGGAGGTGAGAAGCCTCCAGGTCTGCCCCTGGATGTGACTTCTGCCCAGGCAGTACCTGGGGCTCACTGCCTCGTGCTGTGGAGCTCCACACAGCATTGTCAGCAGGGGTAGCAGCCATGGGGATGGATAACATCTTTTCATAGCTCTTCTTTCCCTGCCAGTTAAACCTCCAGAAGGTTCCTGGTTGCTTGGATTACAGGGTAATTGACCACTCCATAAATTGTCATGCTTTCTTCTGTGTGTAACATCGTGGCCATTTGATGAACAGTTGCACAGTTTAGAATGGAATATATATAATGGCAATTAAACCTTTTAGCTTTAATCACACACTTAATGGCTGATCTGCTGGCCCTCAGTGCCATTAGATTTCCAGTCGCAGGATAACGTCAGTGATAGTATGGGCTGTATTAACTGATGTTAATTCTTCATTTGATGGCCCCTGTCTGACACAGAAAGTGAGTATCACCATATGTTTGTCTTTGCAGGCTCAGTGAATGGTTAGTGAGCTCCTTCTTAAAGTTCATCTGTTTGTCATTATGTCCTTTCTGTTAGTGTTTGTTTCCTAACACAGTCATGCTGCTGGGTACAGTCCTTGGGGCTGGGAAACTGCTCCTGTTGGTACAAGAAATGATAAACATTGTGCTGAAAACCTCCAGGTTTTGCAGTGTTGGAGTCCAACAGGGATTCTTCAAAGCTCACTGCACAATAGCAGAGAATTGTCAGAATCCTCTGCAGTCTGTTCTGGACAGTAACACAGTGAACATTTTCTCTTTGCTGGGTGCAGGAACTTGTGAACTTGATAAACAACAACCGTGTGACTGTGATCAGTGGTGAGACTGGCTGCGGGAAGACCACCCAGGTGACACAGTTCATCCTGGATGACTACATCGAGCGAGGGAAGGGCTCCACATGCAGGATCGTGTGCACTCAGCCCAGGCGGATCAGTGCTATCTCTGTAAGTGCCCTTGGACAAACCCAGTGACTGCCTGGCATTATTTTTTCCCTATAAATCTGAGCTATTTGGTTCCTTTTTAGCCATCTGAGATTGTGCTGCAAATAACAATGTTGTTAACGCACACAATTTGATATTTCATAAGTTCTGGTCATTGCTAGAGTACTGGTACTGCAGCTTGTTCTTCCCTGAGTTTATCTGGGATTGTAATGGGTTTGGGCAGTGCAAATGTGAATTAAGATAAAAGCTAACGCTATCAGGCACTCTAGAGGTGTGTTAATGAGCAGGAAAGAATACAGACCTGTCCTTGGGCTGCTGATGGAAATGCTGCTCTCAGGGGAGGAGAAAAAGTGGTTTTCAGGGCGTTTCTTTATCATTTACAGAACACCTCTGTTCCAGG